TACTTTTTTGAAGAAGTAACTATATAATTAATTGCCCAACATTGGTCATTATTTACTGTATTTTGCAGACAGAGAGTTACAGACTCTACAGTTGTGTTTTCAAAATTGGAGTTCAAGTTATTTTTACTTCCAATAGTGTTAACATGCTACAGGTCATGAACAAGATTTTTTAAATTTTCATTTTAAGTGGACTAAAGCAGTTAATTAAAAGTAGTCTAACATAAATGCTGTAATTTGATTACTTTAATAAACATGTAACTTGGATGGATTGGATGCTGGCGTGACCACAGTGCACACGTCTGATGTCGCTCACAGTGGTCTAAGGGACGCTCAGGGAGTTTGTGTGTTCGCTCAGCCACGTGAAACATTAGAGGGAACATTGGTTGTAGCTAAACAAAAAAAAAAGACCATATGGCATCAAAGCTCTTGTCCCAATCCGACCAGGTAAAAAACACAAAATAAATTGCACTTTAATATATTCTGAACCTTTCAAATCCCAAAGGTAAAGATCAGTTCAATCATTAGCGAATGATAGTTGATGCTTGTCTGATGCATTTAGCAGAAAAATTAAGCCAGACTTCTTCTCATTAGCCTGTGTACACAAAAGCCTGTTTACATGTGATTGTTCCAAGCACATGGACTGCAAACCATAAATGCTTCTGGTGAGAATGGCCACCATTTTTTAAAGTTATTAAAGTATAGAAAACAGAGTTCATGTAGCTATGTCTTGTCAGAAACATATATTTTCTCCAGTTTTTAACCAGGGCCTGGTTGTTACATTACATTACTACATTACAAGCCATCTGCTCCTAGACACTGGTTTGACAAAACACGTATAAAACAAATATGAGAAAGCTCCCAGTAAATATTTAATAGCATAATAATTAATAATAATTAATAGCAATTATAATCATATGCAGAATGTACTTATAGAGTCTGGGATTAGAAAACTTGTAGTTACTACAAAGACCCAAACACTTTTAAGTAATCCACCTACTGAATATTGACATTTTTCCAATATTTGGGAATGCATTTTAGTCTTTTTTTTTTGTTTATTTTATTTATTTCTCTAGTGTTATGTGGGGCGGTCGTGTCTCAAGAGTTGGCAGTTTGTCTTGTAATCGGAAGGTTGCCGGTTCGAGCCCCGGCTTGGACAGTCTCGGTCGTTGTGTCCTTGGGCAACACACTTCACCCGTTGCCTACTGGTGGTGGTCAGAGGGCCCGGTGGCGCCAGTGTCCGGCAGCCTCGCCTCTGTCAGTGCGCCCCAGGGTGGCTGTGGCTACAATGTAGCTGCCATCACCAGTGTGTGAATGTGAATGTAGTGTAAAGCGCTTTGGGGTCCTTAGGGACTAGTAAAGCGCTATATAAATACAGGCCATTTACCATTTTATGTAACACCCACACTAGTACCTGGTTGATCTGCTTTTGGCTTCTCAATTGGTTGAATTTTTTGAGGAAGGTTTCCAGAACCTTGTTGAGTCTATGCCACAGTGATTTGGTCCATATTGACATGATACCATCACACAGCTGCAGCAGATTTGTAGGCTGGACATCCATGATACAATTCTCATGTTCTCATGAATTGAGCTCTGCTGCTTCTGGGGTCCTTTTGAAATGAATTTGCTGTTTTCAAGAACCTAGTTTGAGTGTGAGACCCTGCCATCCTCATTCTGTACAGTTTGAACTTCAGCAGGTTCTTTTGACCATGTCTACATATCTAAATGCACTGAGCTGCTCTCATGTGACTGGCTGATTAGACATGGTGTGTTTATGCATTCTCAATCACGACAGTTAAAACGGTCTCTGCACAAACTTTTTCTTCTTTAATCATGCACCTCTAGAAAATTGGAAACAAACCCCTGGAGCATAAGTGCCACCAGATGGAACGCCTGTTCGAATTTATCTGTCCATGTGTTTTATATTTAAAAGCTTCTTTCAAATAGTATCTGTCTCTGCATATTCATGACTCATAGCTGGGATCAAAAGTCGGCATTTAAGAGCTGTGTGTAAAACACAACTCGACTGTCAGAGTTAAACAGATGCTGACATGCAAACAAATACTCGAGCTTCAACATTCGCATCACAGATGACAGTCTGGCATAAAAATGCAGGTCAGATGTTTTCTCTCTCTGTGTAACTCTGGCATGCATCACCTTAATGAAACAGACATGAAGAAGAGGAGGGAAGAGGTTCACACATTTCAGTTCATAAGCTGAGTCAACAATGGTGAATCAGTGGCAATCTGAGACGTGGAGATATTTGCATGGGTCAGATGACAAAAACGAACTCATGCTGACAACACAAGGAGAAGGTTCAAAGGCATGTGGACCAGGACCGCAGGCCTGCTTACTCCTTGAGAAGTAAGTGGTACCTGGCCCATTGTTGCAACCGTACTAAGAGCTACATCATCATTAGGTTTGTGCCCGGGTTTTCCTTTGATATTAATTCTGTCCATTATTTTTTGGGCCAGTCATAGCCAGGAGAAGGGGTCCTTAGAGTCACCTATCTATTTTTCGCAGATGATGTGGTTCTGTTGTGTCATCTGGTGGTGAGCAGAGTGTAGAGCAGCAGGAATGAGAAGTAGCTTCTCCAGTGTCTACTTGAGATCAAGGATCAGTTTTAGAACAAATCAGTTTAAGCGCCTCAGAGAATTGTTCATGAATGAGGTGAGAGAGGAACGGGAGACTGAGAGATGCCGTTCTGTTGTGGTAAAGAGCAAGCTGATTGTAAAAGCAAAGTTGTTGATTTACCGGTCAGTCTACATCCTCACCCTCACCAATAGTCACAGACTGAGACTTAATATTCAAAATAATAGTTAACTTTCTCTCCCATGGAGATGAGGAGCTTGGCTATTTGGGCCACCAGTCCTCTACATCAACAGTGGTTTGAGCATCTGCTTGGAAATCTCCACTGGGAAGACGCCGCTGTGCAAACCAAAAGTATATCTCTCAACTTGTTTGCTTAGACCGCTGCCTCCATAATCCATAGAATCCAATCCAAGAAGCAAAAGATGGGTGGATGAAACATGACCAAATGTAATATGAACAACAGAAGGAGAAAGCTATTTCTACAATTTATTTTGAGAAATGTCAGCAACTATTTTAAAGCAATGATCCCCAACCCCCGGGCCTCGGACCGGTACCGGTCGTTTGGTACCGGGCTGCGAGAGTTGAGGCTCAGGTGTGAAATGTATAGTTTTCACAGTTTTTATCGGTTTTCAGCGTTTTTGTTATCGTTTTTATCGTTAACTCTGTTTTCCTGGGTCTTTTCACGTGTGTTATGAATAAATTTTCTTTTTTTCGGTACCGGTACTAGTTTTATTTTGTTGTATTTATCCGCGACACCTTAAAGGCCGGTCCGTGAAAATATTGTCGGGCATAAACCGGTCCGTGGCGCAAAAAAGGTTGGAGACCGCTGGCTTAAAGCATCAGGTATGACTGGCGATTTAAGATTCCCATGACCACAAAAATGAACGTTATGACTCTCACCACTCATTTAGACACAGGCTTGAATTAAGTAAGGCAAAATAACTCATTAGTGGCGCTGTTCCATTGGTTTCGAGCCAAGTTTCCCCGATTAATCGGTTCTGGTCGCCTTGGCAGGGCGACCACCCTCCTCCTTTCACAGCCGGGCTTGGGACCGTTCTGGCGTTTCCCTTCGCGACCGTCATTCGAATGACACCATCCTCACCTGCGGCAGCCAACCGACGATCGGCGACCTAATCCAGCGCCGCCGACTCCGTTGGTTTGGCCACATTTGTCGAATGGACCCGAGCCGCTACCCCCATGGCCTACTCTGGTTGACCCGCCCCAGAGATTGGAGGGTGCATCGAAATGCACCAAAGAAGACATGGATGAAACAAATCCAGGATGATTTGAAGGCCCTTCGACTTGACCTCGAGCAGGAAGAACCATTGCCTTAGATCGAAAAGCGTGGAAGATAATCGTTGGTCAAGCAAGAGAACCTGCGGCACCTATAGCAGCGTACTGGTTGCGCAGCAGACCACCGCCGCTGGTCGCCCGCTAAGGACAAGGAGAAGAAGAAGTGGCGCTGTTAAGATGATTGTCAACAGGATTTCATTGGCAGCCTGGATCCAGAACAGAACTGGTCCTAGAACAGCACAATTACCCACACGTATACTGGTATTATGGTATTATTAACGGACATCCAGTGAGAAAGGTCCAGCCCTCTCATTGGTCCATGTACACAGCAAGACATGCTAAAGGTAACGCCAAGAAGAATCAGTCACAACTGTAAAAGTCTGATTGAGGCAAAAGTGCGACTATAACTGCCTTCTGATGAGATGTTATCTGTATGTAACATACAGATAACATCTCATGAAACCTGGCTATGGGTTCATGAGGAAGAGAATCACTGTAATGGTCCAAAATACGCACACAGTGACACACTTACATACATATGAGGACACGCACAAGCGCACAGACTGTAGCAGATCCAAAATAGAAAGAGCCTCAGGCCTTAATGCAGCGGTAACATACAACAAACCCGGCAGCATGTCACACAGAATCGGCCGCATTTCATGATACATGTGTGCATCAATAATGCAGCTGAGAGTGTATCATAAAGCTGCGTGTGTGTTCTCATGTAACAGCACAGATTTCACAGAACGTCTTTGTTTGGTTCGTTTCAATCTTTAACTCTAAAACACGTTGCTCCAGTAAAACAGACACAAACTGCTCCCGTGTGGGACACCGAATTAATAAGTGAAATTAAAATGACAGTGATCATCGAGAGCTTTTGGTTGATCATAAAATAAAGTAAAACAAAAATAAAATAAATGTGTAATACAGAAGTTAAGAAAAAAGAATTACAGGAAGCGTTTCAAACATTGTGGCTTACAATAGAATTGCATCATTGCATCACAAAATTGCAAAAACCCAAATATTTCACAAAAGCATGTGAGGAGCTAGAAGTCAGGAATAACATGACGAGTAATTACCTGGGAGAGATGTCACAGCCCTGCTGCATGAACGCTCCGAGTGAGAACCACAGAGAATTAAAGATGCCAAAGTCATTGGTGTATTCTGGGGTCTCCTTTTCCTTCTGCTGCCCCTGAGCCTGTGAGAACCCTAACAGAGGAAACAATCAAACATATAAAAGATGAAGCTTTCTGTTGATACAAGAATAAACGTAAAAAATATGACCTATATGCTGAGATACCTGGAGAGTGGGTATGTTCTGCGGATGAAGAGGCCTGAGCTCTTCGAGAAGAAGAGGGAGCAGTTTCATCTTCATCATCAGACTCCTCACCGTTCCATTCGTAAGGACTGAACCGACTCACCTGTTTAAGATTAAAAAACAAGGATCCTCAGTTTAACAGTAAATTTAAAGAATTAGATGTCACTTACTCTTCTAGTCCTAACAGCCTTTGGAGTCATTTCTACAGTATGTGAAGCAAAAATCATTTTAATGTCACTGACTAGGTTTGCACCAGCTCCGTCCATCCATCCATCCGTCTGTCACAAAGTATCATGTTAGCTAACATTAGTTAAAAGAAAGCTTTCTTTATCTAGTTTGCCCAGTCTCACCAGGAAGAGCACCACGCTGACCCCGATGTAGGCAAAGACGATGCACATCCAGATCTCGTAGGCCAGCGGGTCGAGGAAAGAGAAGACGCC